ACTTGTTTATCAGTAATAAAATAATCCTTAGCTAATTTATAGTATAATTTATATAGTTCTATGATGGCGTTAAGAATTTTTGGATCTTTTCCATACCAAGATTTATAGTCATTTATAATACTATGATATTTATCCTTATCTGAGAACAATTTTTTTGTATTTTCTAGGATATATGCATCGGGATCTTCTACCTGGCGTAATTTTTTTACTTGTTCTTTATAGCTTTGCATGAATTTGCTATCCTTTGGCTTTCTATAATATATTCCTGCTTTGACTACATTTATTAATGCCTGCTCGACTTCTTAGAAGGTAGGCTTTGCTTCAGGTAATTGAATTTGTGTACTCATTATGTATAAAGTATATATTTTCTGTTATTTATATTAATATAGCAGAAACTTTATTTAAAATAAAATATTTATTATTATTATGATTGGCGAATATTCTTGCAACTATTTACTTCGAACTGGTGGCATCTGTAGGCATACCTGTTATCGATCATTAGGGTGTCATGAACATTGGAAAGCTAGTAAGCATTTTCCTTACACGGTTTGTGATAAGCTGACTAGCTCTAAGCCCAGCCTTTGTAGAAAATATGCTAGTGGTTATTATGTGACCCAGTATATTAATAGGCTTCAGGATAGAGCCATAGGTACTTATTGAGAGGTAAATTAGGGTTAAAAATTTTACATCTAATATTAAGACACATGAAAAATTTACATCTAACCCTGAACATCTTGTCATTCAACTATACTAGGTCCCTTCTTTCAGCTTTGCATTCTAATTTTTTTTACACCTAGTACTAATACATACGAAAAATTTACACTTAATCCATTTTTTTTACATCTAAGGTGAATATTAGCAACCCTAGCTTTATGTAAAGGAAATTGCTTAAGAATAGTTTACTGCATATTGAGAAATTATTAGTATACTAGAACATGATTTAGAGCTTTTAGACTTTCTTGTACATATTCAAAAATTTACACCTATGAATGGGCATAGGTGTAAATTTTAGTATTGCTAGTTGATGATGAATCAACTTTAGAATTAATTTTAGGATATCATGAAATATGGTATGCATTTTAGGCTTACATGATCAGATCTAACTCAAATCGCGTCACTTTATTCCTTGATTTTTGATGGATCCTCCGGAGGCAAGCAGAATAGCATAAAAGTTATTATTCATATTGGGTTTACAATGTCAGGTCCAGCTCAAATCACGTCACTTTGTTCCTTGATTTTTGATGGCCCCTTCTAAGGCAAACAGAATAGTAAAAATTTTTTGATATATTATTTGGGATTAAAATCAGGCTAGAATGGTTATATCAAACAGTATAATTCTTGATATCTGAAGGTCAATTCCTAGTCAAGTTTGATATCATTATCTAGAATTGAGTCAAATCACACTAGAGGTTTAAATTCAATAATAGATTTTGTATAGCTAGAATTGATTTAGAAGCGATTTGGTGATTTATCCTAGAACCCCCTTTTTGCCTTATATTAAATAATTAATATTTTTTAAAAATTTTTTTTTAAATTAATTTTATAAATATATAATAAATTATAATATGTTTTATTTTTTAATTATATATTAAAAAATTTAAGATTACTTAGAAGCTAAAATTTGTAATTTTTTAAAAAAATTTATATTAAAAAATTTTATGATTAATTTATGATAAACTTTTTAGGATTTACTTTTAACTATATTAATCTTAATGGAATATTATAAAATTACTTATAAAATAAAACTTTTATTATTATAATTTTTATAATTTATTAAGAAATTTTATAATTTTAATTAAACTTAAAATCTTTATTAATAAAGTTAATAAAAAATATATTAAACTATAAATTTTATATAATAATGATATTAATAAAATTAATATTTAATATTTTATTAAGAAATTAACACTTTTTTTTTTTAACTTCGCAGGCAAATTTCTTGCTTTACAGTCTAAAGGATAATAATGATTATTAGAATTAAAGTAAATGAAATTATAATATAGTATTCTCTTAAGAAACTAAAATACCATTGACAGATTTCTTAGTATTATCATAATTATCTTCAAGAATAAAATCAGGTTTCTTATTTTTAATATTATTATTTAATTTAAGTTGATATAGGCTATCCAAAAGTGATTAAATGTGCTATAGTTGTCTAGTTATCATAACCCTTATTTGACAAATGTATAACATTTTTAAGTTCAAAAGTTTTAACATAGCTTATACTTTCTTGATTATTTCTATCACTCAAGAGAATTTGTTTTACAAATTAATTTTTAATTGCTGAGTCTTATACTTTTTGTGTTAATTTTTTCTTATAATTTTCTTTATAATATTATTATTATTTAATTAATCTTTAGTTATTCTTTTAAATTAACTTCTTTTTACTTGGTGATTACATTTGTATAGTTTAAATTTGTCAGACTTTATATAGCTTCAATATGAACTGAATCAATAGACCATTCTCTTATATATATAGAATTTATTTTAGCTAAAATATACATTATGATACACATGATTACAAGGTAATACTCGTTCTGTTTCTATAATAATTATAATATTAATAAAGAATAACTAGAAGGATCACAATCAGACAAATTAGGCTTATATGAAAAACTATATCTATAGGTAGATAATAAAGTCATGCTTTCTTCATCTTCATTACCAAAATAGAAAAACTGTTTTTAGCATTGACTTTCTTATTTTTTTAGTAGATGATTTATAGTAGTTTATGATGAAATTAAAAATTAAATTTTTTTATGATTAATATGAGTATAGATATCTAAAAAAAATAATCTAAAAGAAAGTATACAATTCTTTATGTTAAAGTATAATATTATGAAAAAAATACTGATAAATCATTCAAGTTGAATTATAAATAAAATTTTCTTAAAATTATCATTATTAAATCATAAATACAGTTGATTCTCTATATAATCATTCCTTATTATTATATAAATCTTCTGTTATAAACATACCTTTCATGAAAACTAAATCCTAATAATACTTTATAAAAACCCTTTTATAATCATAATATTTTATAATCACATCCCTTTTAGAATTAATACTTAGTAAAACTATAAAAAAATCCTTTTATATAATCACTTTTTACTATAGTCACACTTTTATTTTTAGTTTTGAAAGATATGACAATAGAGGCGATCAACTGTAATTTATATATCATGCTTCTTATATTATTAGATCTACTATAAAATGTTATTCTATATTGCATCATAAAATATTATAAAAGATTTTTACAGACGTATTATTAATTTGATATTTATTATTTTTAAAATTGAATGATTTTTTATTGTCAGTAAAAAATATCTAAAAGAAATATCAAAGATGCTTTAGTATAATTTTTATAGTTAAACTTAAAAAAATAGACTAATATGAAAAATAGATTTAATATAAAAGTTAAAATTGCTAACACAAAAAAAAATAAAGCATAAATATTAAAACTAGTAGAGTTGTATTATCTAGCAAATACGTAAGTATTATATATTCTGTATTAAAAATGAGCATCATAATTAAAAAAATGGCGCAATTAAGTTATAACTTATGATGCAGTTAAATTTCCTTATGACACAATTAAGTTGCAATTCAATTAAAATTTGAAAATAATTATGAGAACCATCTTTATTCTGCTTCTTTACATATATGATCAAATTTTACTTCAATTATCATTACAATTTATTGTTATGCATTGCGTAAATATTCTAATAATAAATTGATATATCATAGTATTGGAATTTTAACAAGTATTTTTTACAACAAATATATATTTATATATTGCTGAGAAAAATAGTTAATATTAGAGAAATATTAACTCATAATTATTTAATAAGATATACAAAGAACTTATCATTAGAAGAAATGATAAAATATAGTTAGTAGTTTCAGATAAATTATTATAAATAAGATACTGTGATATAGCAGCTCTTAAAATATTTGATCAAACCAATCAGTGACAACTGAAATAATAATACCTTTTATAATACAATCAAACTTATATATAATAATATTATATATACTGATAATTGCATATACGTATAAATATTTTATGTCCCATTTTATTATTACAGTAGCGGTCATAAGTATCTGACTGCCTCTAACTCCAGCTACAAGTAAGTAAATTCAAAATTTTTTTTTTATTTAAAAAATACATAACCAACTAACTAAAATTAATACATTGTGTAGTCACTATCTGACTCTATAAGTGCAGCTATACGCATTTTCATGCTAACTATTGAATTCGCGGCAAGTACAGGTGATAATCAGTTCCATTCTTTGTAAGTTCCCCTTTAACCCTCTAATTGATTAAATTTTTTTTTTGTATATTAATTTTCATTAACCTCCAAACGTTTTCTATAGGGTTTTGGTCTGAAGACATTGATGGCCAAGAAAGTACCTCAATGCCATTTTCTTCCTTCTATTTTTTTGTGATTTTCAATCAATGCTTTGGATCATTATCTTCTTGCAAGATCCAATCTATGTTACCTTCACCAAAAAGTTTAGAGGTGAAAGCCAGAAGACCCTGCTCATAAATAGTACACATAAATTCAGCATTAAGATTTCTCTGAAAGCAAAATAGCTTACCAAATCCAGAAGCAGAAAAACATCCTCAAACATGAACTTTTGGTGGATGTTTAACAGAACGAAACACTTTTTTTCTACCAGAAAACTGCCAAACCTTTTTTTTGATGTATATAATTGAAATGTACTCTCATCTGTAAAAACAACTCAATTCTAATCAAAATTCTTATGTTTTTTTTGCCCATTGCAACCTTTTCTTTCAATGGTCTTCTTTAAGCAAAGGTTTAGAAATTTCATTACTAAACTTTCCTCCAGACTTACGAAGACGTCGCCTTACTGTTTTTACACTAATCCCAACATCTCTTTCTTTCATTTTTTCTTGTATTTGAATGGATGTTATATTATGTTCTTTCTTTGCCATCTTTACAATTTTGTCATCTTGTTTCGCAGATATTACATAAGGCCATCCCGGTCTTTCTGAAATACTTAGGTCCCGATTTTCATGATATTTTTTAACCCAATAAATAACTGTAGACTTACTACAACGTACCTGCTTAGCAATAAATCCAAAACTAAATTTTGGACCAGCTGAGTGCTCACGTAAAAAGACAATTTCATATCGTTTCTCTAAAGAAAGTTCCATTTTTCAAGCGAAAGTTTGATGATCATCTAATTTTTTTTGTATCATTGACACTTATAAATTTACAGGTGATCATATATTGTGTTACATTATATTTCTGGAAAATTTAAGGGGTAGTTATATAGTAATTTTGGACGATCTCGGGCGGTTGGATACTTATGACCGCTACTGTAATTAAAAAACCTTTATATATTGATATTACATATAGTTTCATAATATGACATGTATTGATATTTTTCTTTGTTTCTTTATAATTAATATATAGTAGGATGTACTAATATTTTAGGATATACTAGCATAGAATCTTATAGTCAAACCTTGATATAGCAAATTTTTAATATATAACTAATCAAATATATTAAATATATTTTACTATAATAAATCAGCCAATTAAATTCTTTAAAAATTTGATAAATCTTATAATAAAGTTGAGATCTTAAATTTAGAATTTGTTATATTAAAAGTTAATTGTTAAAAGAAATAGTAATAATAGTAACAATAATAATAATATATATAATTATAATAGTAATAATAAAAATAACAATATTTGTATAGTTATATTATACGCAATCACATTACGATCATAATATGTAATATTTATTATTATTTGTTATTATTGCTTATTTGAGATATTTTGAATAAAAAAGAATGCATTTATCAAAATAAATAGAAAAACTATATAATAAAGTGAAATTTGTAGGGATAGTAATTAGGGACATGATGATAAAATAATTTTTTTACGTACTTTTCATAAAATTCAAAAACACTTTTATTTCTAATAAAACTAATTCAAATTTTATTCAATTGCTATATTTAAATATTTATTAGAAAGAGAATAAAATTGTGAATCTTAGTATATTAATATTTTACAATTAATAATTAATTTATTAAATAATATTGCTTTAAATTTGCTAAAATATTTAATATTAAAATCTGATTAGCTTATTATTTATTCTGATATTGATCAATAATATAATATAGTAATATTGTTACATAAATTTTCGTAATATACTGATAACTTAATATACTAATATATTTTTTTAAAACAACTGTATTATTACATAAAAGTTTAATTATATATCTATTAATTATCAGAATAAAAGTAACAATATTAATAGTATTAATATAAGCTTCTATCAATTGAAGATTATTTTTTACAAGATCTATGAGTATAGTATCTTTTATTAATCTTGTATTTCTTTTTTCTTTTAAATGAATATTATAACTATGAACTGTTAACTATTTGAACATTATTTTATCATCTATAAGGCAAAATTCCCAATGTTAATTATGAAAAATTGAATATATTGATATAAAATAATTTTTAATTCTAATTTTAAATATCAACTAATGTAGGATTATAAATATCTTATTTTAATATTATTAGTTCATTTTTAATTAGATTAAATAAGATAGTAGCAAGGTGTACTGTATTCAATGTTATGGTTGTATTAGGCATTTTTTTAATGTAGATTTTATAATAATTATCTATATTTAAAATAATTGCATAATTTATACGATTTGTAAGATTTGATTCCACAGTTATTAGATGTTTTTAGACATGATATCCTTGTAGTAGAAAATTAAATGAGATGTTATTATCAGGCCTAATGCTGTCATGATATCTATTAGTATTATAGTAAAATCTAAATACATTTTTAGATTTTTTTTTTATATTGTTAACAAATTTATTAATGGGTTAGTTTATAAATATAATTCATCAAAAAAAGATTTTAATTGATTATCATATGAAATTTTTTAAATATCCAAATTGATGATAATTTTTATGTTTTTTTTCATAAAGAATATCTGTAATTATACCTATAGTTTGAAAAAAAGATAAAATGTTGTTAGAAGTTTCTGGCTCATTATGAAAATACAAATTTAACTTATGTCTTTAAAATTCAGAAGACACATTAATAATAATTGCATTATAACTATTTAAACATATAATATCATTTCCTTTAATATAATTAGAAAGGGTTTCATTATTTGTTCTTTTAGTTAAAACTAAACTAGCAATAGTTTTCAATATTAAAGATTTTCTTTTGCAAATTTCTATGACACATAGTCCTTTGAGTCTCTTTTTTTTACCCATTTATGAAATGTTTTTACTTAACTAATATCTATTAAATATAAGATTATAAGAGATTTATTTTAAAGGTAGTATTTTAACACCTCAATAAAGCAATATATTTATATAATTTTGTTCTTTTATTATATAAAACCTTATTTTTCAAAAAGTATTGTATAACATATAAATTCAATTGATATACATTAGCTAATCAGATGGACTTATTTCTATGAATTTAAACCAGTATCACCACAAGGCCGGCATTACAGCATTAGTAAATTAACCATGTAACAAATAAGACGTGATCAAATATGATTTTATTTCAAAAAAAAATTCTGTTCCGAAAATACTTAGTAAAAATGGAAAAGTGGAGGGTGTGACTCAGGATGACAAATATCTTGTGATGTCACTCATTATTTATTACAGACGCCAACCCCCTTGTAAAATTAGCCACATTTTATATATATAACAAGGATTTTTTGATGGAACTTAATATTTGTTACACGTTATTTGTCACCCTATTCGCTACAAGTCACATGCCCGATAATCTACAATATTTTGATCAGCAATATATATTTATCATATTAGGAAGTTGATCATCAAGATGGGTTACTTACTAAAAAAAAATTATTTTCTCACGCTACTTTTTTCTCAACAACGCGTACAATATTCTTTATAGTTTAACGCTTGAAAAAAAATAAAAATTGAGTTTCCTTGTGGGTAAGTTTTTTTTTATTAAACTGAAAGCTTTTTTATGAGGGGGGTTTTTTTTTGGTCTATTCTTTTACAAATCCTTCCAGGTGGGAGGTTAGATTCCATTATCGTTTAGTGATATTATTCCTGCATTCTGATAAGAATACTCTCATTTACATTTGGTCGCTCCAGGCAGTAAAGGCTTGTATGGTTTCGACTGTAGTAATGCTTGGGCTTCATTTTTTTGTAGGTCTTCATTAATAATGATTTTGAAGCGTTTTCTTACCATTCAAGATAATGTGCAATACCGGTATCCTTTGGTAATCATCTTTTTTTTAATATTATTGTGAATTTTTTTTAATAAGTTTTCTAATCCTTGAAATAATCCAATCTTTTCCAGATTTAACATTTCTATATTATCCTTATTTCATCATATACAATTCCTTCCGGGTGGGTGGCTAAACCCCGTTATCGTTCAGTGATATTCCTGCGATGCCCTGTCCCAATACTGACACATCATTTGTATTCGATGAGAA